GATTTCATAAGTATGATAAAATTTATATTAACTTCTACATTTTTTACTTTCAATAACATAACTTATAAACAAGTTTATGGGACTCCTATGGGCTCCCCACTTTCTCCGATCATTGCCGATATAGTCATGCAGGACTTAAAAACATTGGCAATTAGTAATTTAAATTGCGAACTGACTTTTTATTTCCGTTATGTAGATGACATTATTTTATGCACTTCCGTTGACATTATTACATATGTTTTGAATGAATTCAACAATTATAACGATAGACTAAAATTTACATTAGAAAAAGAGGATAATCGGTGTATAAGCTTTTTAGACATAATGATCAAAGTAATAGATAACAAAATTAATTTAGATTGGTATCACAAAAAGACATTCTCAGATAGATTACTCTCATTTTTTTCAAATCATCCGATTTGTCATAAAATAGGAACAATTTATAGCTTGGTAGATAGAGCTATATTGCTATCACATTCTCAATTTCACAAAAGAAATATAGAGAAAGCTATTAATGTTTTGCTATCCAATGGTTATCCTCTTGACTTAGTTTTTATAGAAATAAAACGCAGATTGAAAAATCTTTCAACGAAGAAATTTAACAAGTCTAACAACAACAATATAATAGATACTAATAACACAAATACGAACATTAAATATTTTGTCATACTATATATAGAATCAATTTCTGATAAAGTCGCTTCAGCAATAAAAAGACCTGACGTAGTGGTAGGATATCGTTGCATTAAAAATTGAATGACTTTATAAGGGTTCAAAAGGACAGAAATGATTGTCCCACGAACTCTAATGTTATTTATAGATTAAATTGCAATGATTGTGACGCCACATATGTCGGACAGACAAAAAGACAGTTAGGAACGAGACTTAAAGAACATACAAATAATATTAAATTAGACTCTGCTAAACATTCGGTTGTCACGGAACACATTCTAAATGAACAGCATACATTTGACTGGGATAACACTAAGATTATGGATCATGAAAAGAATTACCATAAAAGGCTAATATCTGAAATGATTCACATTAAAGAACAGAAAAATGGAATTAATTTAAACAGAGACACCAAATTGCTAGACAGTAGTTATTTTGACATACTTAAAAAATTAGCTGAATCATAGTTTAGAAAAAACATTGGTAATTAATAAATACATCACACTTTCTACCTTGGCATTTGTTATTTAGACTTCGCAACACACACTTGAAATGTCGAGAAGAAGAACTTGTTAAAACGATAATGTAAGTTGAAAGATTTTTTAATTTTATCTGATATTAATAATTTAATTCGCGTAAAATATCCACAGCATGATTAAATGTCGCAAAACTTGGAATCTCAGACCAATCGGCTTACTCATCTATTGGTCATCAGCGAAGAATCGTTTAACTTTGTATTTTAATGTTTAACCAACTTTGTATTTTAATATATTTTACTTTGTATTTTAATATTTAACTTTGTATTTTAATATTTGATTTTTACGTATTGAAAAAGACTGTAGTGCAGTCGAAACGTTTACGCTGCATATTGTTTCTCTAACGGAATGAGAATTTAATTATTTAATTATTAATAATTCTTTAGATCTTATTTAATTGCTCGTTTAGTTGGCCTACAATATTTACCTTTTTTTAAATTTTGTTAATTTATACGAGCCTTTCATTAATTAATTTTACTAGTTAAATTCGGAGGTAGTAAAGGAGGATGTTGAAAAAAGTCGATTTCCTGACTATTGATAGAACCTAAAATTGAGTTCCATGGGTATCTATGAACCATATAAGATGTCTTGTAGACGTCTAAAAATGATGGTCTTTTTTCTAGAGACCTGGGGAAAGGATTGAAAATCTATCAAAACTATTGAAAATAGCGTCATTTAATCGATCTGAAGACAATTAAAATCAATGACATGGATGATTTTTCAATCAAACCAAGTTCTGGTTAAACATTTATCAAATAGTTTTTAAGATTAATGTTTTAATATCGGGATCGCAAAATTCAAGATTGCGGATCCAATATAGTGAATCAGTATTGAAAGAAACTAAATTCCAGGATGTACTGTGAGGATGTTTGTTTTTCTGAGGAGAGGACTCTTTGTTGGAATGCCTGAATTCGCGTGTCAGGAAAGCCGCGGGAGAGGCGAACAAAGGGGTCTTGCTCATGAGATGGTTGTAATAATTGTCACACCACGTTTAACTGAACTAATCTTTATTCACGCGCATGGCACATACAAAATACCATGTTCCCGCCGTGTGACTCGATATTATAACTTGACGTATGCCATACAAGTTGTTGCGACGTAGTTGTACGTCGTGCGCTCGACCACACTCCTTCGCTGTACTTTAGATAATAATGCCCCGTCACGGCCGCCGTCTTCTTCCTCGTCGACCACGAGGTTCGCGCCACTGCGCGCGCATCTCACACCTGCGCGCGCATCTACAGGATGCGCGCGCCTATCCGCACGCAGGCATACTTATGCTATGCAAGATATATCTTGTAATATATCTTACAGTACCTACATAACATCGAAGTCTTGTAGACGTCTAAAAGATGTCTTATTAAAGAAATCTTATAGACATTTCTAAAAGATGTCTTCCAGATATCTTTTAGATGTCTAAAAAGATTTTGATGAAGATGTCTTTGTAGAATTTCTAAAAGATATCTATTATACATTTTAAAGATATCTCAAATTCCACATAACATCGAAGTCTTGTAGAAGTCTAAAAGATGTCTTATTAAAGAAACCTTATAGACATTTCTAAAAGATGTCTTCTAGATATCTTTTAAATGTCTAAAAAGATTTTGATAAAGATGTCTTTGTAGAATTTTTAAAAGATATCTATTATACATCTTAAAGATATCTCAAACATTAAAATTTTTTAAATGAATATATATATTTTTTTATAATTTATAATTTTAAAGCAAGTGTTATATATGTAACATATATTACATAATTTAAATCAACCGGGGTTACACTCCTATTATAAAGCATATAGGGTGCATTCGTTTATGCAGTGACTGCCGCAGAATGCCGCAGATGTCGTTCGTTTACTCCACCTGCGCAACCGACTGCAGCGCAGTTTGTTGTTCGTTTAAGCAGAGCTGCTGCCTATCTGCGCAGCCATCTCGGAGGTCCTGCTCAGGATGCTTTGCTCGCAGTACTGCGGACTACTGCGTAAACGAATGTAGTCTTCTCCATTGTTAAGCCAATTGAACTTGGAAACGTTGCTTGAAAATTATTTCAATTATAAGTTATGTTATGAAAGTTCAGAACAAAGAAGGTGGAGAATAACTCCTCCAAATAGATCCTACAAAACTAAAAGTAATGCAAGGTAAGTAATACAATAAAATTATGAAGTCTGTTAATTTATATTTACGATCTAATTAACTTAAAAATGCACTTTTATCAAGAATATAAATTTAAAGTAATCTGTTAAAAAAAATGTGCTTTGTATAAAGATGCAATTCTGTTACAGTCATTCCTAACTATTAAGCTACTTCGTCCCCAGTTAGTTTGGAAAAATCTGAGAAGTCTACATTCAGCAACATTTCAATCCTACCGTCATCACTGTCTGAAAATGTTATGTGCACACGTCATATGTCAGAACCTTCAACCTATTTAAAAATTTTATTATATTTATTCAAATAATAATTCATATTTAATATAAATATGATGGTTTCTAAATCGGCCTAAGAGCCATAGCACGAAAAATTACGAAAATTAATTATTCGGAAACTGTATCTCTTGGTACGAGATTACTTAAGTTCCATATATTAATTAACCTTGAACTTACATATGGAGAAATAGGCGCGAAAAATATAGGTCCGAAAAGTCGCTGAAGCGGGAATCAAACCCGCGTCTTTCACTTTCCGAGCGACTGCTCTTACCACTAAGCTATTCAGACTTTTCGATCCTATATTTTTCATTTGCTTTTTAGTAGATGTTAGTAAATAACGCCGTGATTAGGCCAGGCGTGAATAAACTCAGAAATAAATATTTTTTATCGGCTCTCAATATAAACAATATAAATATGATGGTTTCTAAATCGGCCTAAGAGCCATAGCACGAAAAATTACGAAAATTAATTATTCGGAACTGTATATCTTGGTACGAGATTACTAAAGTTCCATATATTAATTAACCTCGAACTTACATATGGAGAAATAGGCGCGAAAATATAGGTCCGAAAAGTTTAAATAGCTATTAGTGGTAAGAGCAGTCGCCCGGAAAGTGAAAGACGCGGGTTCGATTCCCGCTTCAGCGACTTTTCGGACCTATATTTTTCGCGCCTATTTCTCCATATGTAAGTTCGAGGTTAATTAATATATGGAACTTTAGTAATCTCGTACCAAGAGATACAGTTCCGAATAATTAATTTTCGTAATTTTTCGTGCTATGGGTCTTAGGCCGATTTAGAAACCATCATATTTATATTGTTTATATTGAGAGCCGATAAAAAATATTATTTCTGAGTTAATTCATATTTATTTAAAATTTCTTTACTTACGCACTCCAATTACAATCTGAGCAATCAATTCACGCAGGTGATCGTTCGGTAAATGATGTCACGTGACTCGCAGATAATAGACGCAGTGGATGCGCAGTGGATGCGCTAATCGCTGCATAAACGATGCACCCATATATTTTCGACTCTAGAGGTTCGCATCTAACCCAACCCAACCTCTATTTATTTCTCACTAGCAGAAAACATACACGATATCTATATAGCTTTCCGATTCACGCATGATGCGTATGAATGAGTGACAAAAGAGTTATTATGTGTAAAAGTGGTGTAATGTGTAAAACTGTGCGAGTGTTCACAATGTGCAAATTTTTATTGAATATTTCATAAAATTATAAAAATATTTTTATAATATATTCATGTAATATTTATTACATACATAATGAAAATAATTATTAAAATAATTTATTTTAAATTACATTATTCTGTTACAAATTTGAGATTATCTAGTTGTAATATTTTCTTTTCAGTGATAAGAATGATGAGGGAACTAAGATATTCGACTTTTTCGAAGAACATTGAGAGGACTTCTTCGAGTTATTATTTAGCACAATTGCCATTTGATCCAAAAACAGGTCATACTATTTTTACTACTTATAAGGGGCTGCATACAATACACAATAAAAGGAACAGAAAACAAAAGAAAAGAATAAAGAACAGTTTAATATGAAACATATGTAATGTAGTAACGCAGAATAGAAAAATTTTTTGTCTATTTATCCCTTTTACTTACTCCTACTATTGTGCACAGCCTTTAAACAGCACTCTTGTTATTACAATTATACATATTATTATTATTAATAACGTTTTATTATAATATTAAAAATTTTATTAGGAAAAATGATTCTCTGAGTAGCATTGTTTTCTTGCATTGAACCAATATTTGCTGTTTGTCACATTTAAAGATGTCTTTTATTATTCATCCTGGATGATATCTTAACATCGCTGTTATAAGGGATATTTCATTACATTTATTTCAATTCTTTTTATCTGTTTAAATTGTTTGAAATAATGATAATTTGTTATTGTAATTTATTTAATTTCTTATTTATTTTAATCTACAGAAAAGATCTTGCACTTTCACAAGTAGTTTTTTATATCTTCTCTCTATTCGCATCATACAAGTTTGAACAGTATGTAATGGATTATTTGTTCCAAATAAATTCAGATTACTATTTTAAAAATTCTACGTTTGCAAACATAGTGGTAAGTGTACTTTAATAGATTTTATTTATATGTTTTCAATTTTTATTAATTTGTATTACTTTGTTATTTATATTCTTTGTGATGTATGTATATAATGTGACACATAAAATTATAACTTATTAACAATTTTTAAATACTAATATTATATAAATAGAGTATACATGTATTTATTCACTAATATAAATGTATATATATTATCCACAGGGGCTGTGACTCATGCAAAAGAAAATCACCTGATTGTTCCATTGCATTGATTGTAAAACATAAGGAATTGGTGGCAACATGCAGGTGATAAATGCAATATCGGATGAAAAAGATGCAAAAAGAAGAAAGAAACACTGAAAATCAGCATTAATATTAGATAGCTTAAATATTAAGCTTCTTGCATAATGTCAGGCAACAGACAGAAGAAACAAGAAATAAAAGATATTCTCCCATAAAGGGCAAAGAATAGATATTACTTTCTGCTCTTATTGGTGAATATCTTTTATTCCTGTTCCTATTGCCTGTTATTGCCTGGCATTGTGCAAGGGGCTTTAGAGACAGGGATATATATACAATATATATATATATTATATATATATATATATATACATATATACAATATATATATAATTGGACAAATGATATGAACAAATTTAATTAAAATATTTTTAATTGACGATTAATTTTAGAAAGATTAATTAGATTTTGTTACAATGACGATTGATATAAGCTAGATTAATCGAAGATCGCTTAATTAACAATTAATATGATCGAAGTCAATTAAAGATTATTTAATTGACAATTGATATAAACAAAATTAATCGGAGAGCGATCGATTAAACGATTAATACAAGCTAATTTAATTAAAAGTTTTTTAATTAACGATTAATATGTTAATTTTAATTAGAAGTACTTTAATTGACAATTGAAAAAAACAGATTCAATCGAAGATAATTTAATTGGACAATTGATTTGAGCAGAAACAATTAAAAAATATAATTGACGATTAAATATAGCAAATTTAATGCGAATCTCTTCCATTAATAATTGACTTAAGAAAATCGATATAATTTCTCTATTTCCATTAATTAACAATGTGTAACGATAATAAAATTTAAATTTTTATCGAAGATGTTGACTGATGAATAATATGACTGAATTTAAATAATATATATCTTTTC